GTTGCCGGAGGCCCCCCTGGCCCGCCCGCCGGCAGCACCAGGCGCGTCTGGCCCTCGGCGGGCAGCAGTGCTCACACTTCCTCCGAGCGCGCAGAGCATCGCTCCCTGCCCTTGGCCTCTTCCCCTCCCGCCCCAGCCCCGCTGCCAGCCCGCATCCTGCCCCACACCCCTGCCCGCCCCGCCACGAGGCTCTCCCACTCCCAGAGACCCCGTTCCCAGCCTGGGACTGGAGCGGAACAGCGGGGCCAGCCCTGGCCGTGGCCCTGGCGAGACTCAGCTCAGCAACAGCCCCATGGCATGGGAGCTAGGTGCATCCCCACACTGCCATGGGAGCCAACCTGCCACGAGCTGGGCTCACCCAAACCCCCTAGGGGGTGCAGAAGGGCCCCCTAGGAGGGGTCCAGCCCCAGCCCATGGTGCCCGGGGCACCAAGACCTCTCCAACCTACCATGGCCATATTGCAGTGCCCACGCTGGTAGTCGGAGGACGGAGGAGGGACGAAGTGTGATGAGCTCCCAGGGCTGAGCGTGAGTGGGGCTCGCATCTCTCGGCTCCTGCACAGGATGCTCTCCTCACTCACAGGCTTTTTACTCTGGCTGTGAATCTTCTTATGCCACTTATAAACAGTTACTTACACAATGTATTTTCACGTCTCTTTATGAGAAAGGTCCAAGAACATGCCAAGGGAACTTCCCCTGAGTTGTTAATAACCTTTATGAACTTCCACCGGTGCTTCAGGAACATGCCTCATTGTGTCTACCTTCCCTTGGATCGTTGTTGAATCATCATAAATCTTTCCTTACCCCATTCTGCTTCTAAGTAAAATTGCATTGGCAGGGTTTTCTGCAGAAATTACTCTGCTCACTTCCAACTAAAGCCAGAGTGAGAGCCATGCAGGTCATGTGCATTTTCCAGTTCCAGAGAAATTAATGCTATTCCAGTGGGACTCATGCTAGACAAAAGGAGGAACTCATCCCACAAAAGCCATAACTCACTACAATGACTTTATACTTAGTCAATGCAAATGAAACTTGGTTCCCGTCTCCATCTTCCTTGCAAAATGTTTTACAGCAATTGTCTGCTGTTACGGAATTGCTGAGGATGAGCCTCTTTGTCCAGTCATTCAGGAGCACCCGCCTTCTAGCAGCTCCTGTGCAGAGGGTGCGGATTACGGCAAGGGAAGAGGCAGGCGGGCGGGCAGAGAGGCTGAGGGGCAGCTGCTGGGGCAGGAGAGCATCTCCAAATGCTGAGGGTCACCTGGGCAGGGTGGGAGCTGCCTCTCCCAGGTGGGAGTCAGAGGGGTGCTCATGGGTGTACGGCCCAGGGAGGGAGCAGGCTGTGCCTCTGCCAGTTTCACTTCTGCTGAAACCCAACAGGGTAGGGCAAAGCAGTAGAAAAAAAACATTCTCACCTTTATTTTTGTAACTAAAAATAGTTTTGGGTATTATTTTAAAAACAGAAGCAAGGTGGCTCAGACCCAGAGGCTGCTGCTGAAAAGAGCAGAATGTGGCCAAGTTCAAAGCTGTTTGTGGGGGCAGGTACCCCCTGCTGATGGGTACCTGGGCTCAGAGAGGGGGTCCTGCATGGCAGGACTGGTACTGAGGGTTGCTTTGCAGGTAGTGGAAAAAGGTACATGTGGTGAGAGGGAGAGAAGACCCAAATCAGCTCTGCTGGGAGCTGGCTAATTGCCAGGAGCCCTTTCACATATCCAGCGGTTTCCAAGTCTGGCGCCCTGGGAAGTATGCAGGCTCCTGCTGCCCCGCTTGCCGACGAAGGGCCTGTCCCTGCCTTTCAGGCTGAGCAGCGCAGGGGTTTCCCAGGCAGCGGGATGGTGCATCCTGTCCCCCCTGGCCACCCCTCTGAGGCACAGCACGAGCTGCAAGCCAGGGGCTCAAAGGAGCAGGTACAAAGGCACTTTCCTGTGTCACCCCCTCACCATCCCCCTGGGCCCTGCAGGGATCTGGGATGGAAATGTGCCTCCTTTTCTGTGCCCCGATCCTGAGCCACAGACGGAGGTGATGCCCAGTCCAAAGAGCCCTGCCGTGGGCTGTATCTGTGGGGAAGGGGCACAGATGCCCCACTCCCACCTTCAAACCACTGCGGAGGGTGCTGTGCCCAAGCCACGGGGATGGGTGACCCGTCTGCAGGCTGCGACCACAGGGCTCAC